TGAAGCAGAACTGATTATTCATCAGGTTGGAGGAATGAAAAGGAAGGGAATAGTTGAGAGGCAGGCTGGAGTATGTGAGTGCACAGGATCGGGGAGCAGAGGGCTGGCTGTTACTGACTCAGGGAGCTGGGGTAGTGGAGCATGGGAGGGAGAGAGTAGAGCAGAGAAAAGAAGTTCAGTGAGGACTGTGTTAAGGCAGAGATGTAGCAAGGAAATCTGTGATGCCCCAGGCAACTAGAGAGGCACATGATGGGGGAAAGTCAGGGTCTGAACAAAGCTTTGGGATTCCCACATCCAGAGATGGAAGATGGAGTTGTATGGGAGGTGACCAATGCAAGCCATGTGAAAGGCTATTCTGAAGTCATGAAATGGGTGGAACACACAAAATAAACAAATTGTGAACTTGCTGGAAAAATAAATAAATGTAAAAGTTGATGCTGGAAGCTCTCTGTTCTATCATAGTTACATTCATGGGTAGGGGGACAACTGATTCAAAATGACAAAAGCTCAGGGATAGATCTCTTGCCTAGTGTGTGGAAAGCCCTGGGTTCTAGTACCCCCCAAAAAATCCCGGCACAAGTAGTATGTCCAGCAGTAGCAAAGACTTGAAGACAGGCTGCAAGCAGCAGCAGCAGCACCCCAAGGCTGGCTCCCCAGCAATTGAAGCTCCATGCTGGCTTCCCCACTGGAGAGAGAATGAACACTTCCTCAACCAGGAAACAAAAGTCCTGAGCTTCATTGTGACCTTGAACTCACCCCTATCACAAGCCTAGCCAGAACTAGTGGAACTAACTACCCTGAAGAATAATACTATCTTTATAAACATAAATTGGTATTTGCAACATGTCTGTGAAAAAGTCTGGGTTGCAAACAGTATATATTTCCAATTTGAGTTTTGGGGGTACTTTCAGCTGAGTCTGTATAACTACATGTAAGAACTATATTCGGAAGAAGAGGGAAATTCTAATGATGGTTATCCCTGGTTGTAGGAGTACAGAGCTTTCAATTTCTTCTGGTTTCATGGCTCATATATTAACTGGAAAATAAAAAATTAATTTAAATTAATTTAAAAAATTAATCCTCATTCTCTCCCATTCCTGGCCTCCCCATCTGCTGATAAAGACACTGGCCCGTCTATTCAGGCTTGGTTTCTTAGAGCTCACCTGCTGTTATCCCTCTGCTAGTCTGCAATGTACCAGGCAACTCAGCAGTTTGAGACTCTTGGGACCATCTGGCTAATGGGCTAAACTCACCTCTCTGAGCTCTGAGATCTTCTTGCTCACTTTTGATGCTATATTCCTCAATCTTGCTGAGTTAACATTTATACTACAACGACTGAAATCAAACAGTAGAGATTTTACCTTCACTTTATTGCAATGACCTTCTAAGCTGACCCTCAAGTAATTAAACCCATGTCTTAATGTTCCAACTAAAATCACATTGAATAAGTAAAATCACATTGTCCTTTGCATTTGTGGAAGCTTTCCTTACCTAGGCACTCTAAGTGTATTAGCTTCTGAAGCTGGGGTGCTGAGGCATAAAGTAGTCTATAATGGTATTTCTACTTAGTGAGTTGGTATTTGTGAACACCTACTAATTCCAGGAAAACGTGTTAATCTGGCTGACTGTTTCCCACTAACTGATATCACATACAATGCAGTCGGAGATCTCAGGTATCACCTTGTGCAAGGCACAGTTCTAGGAGCTCTAGTGAACAAGCCCAATGGCCCAATGACACCCACAGTTCCCTGCCATCAACAAGTTTCTAATACCTATAGGGTAAACAAGTTCATAAAGTTGTTCTACTATAGGGCAGGATTTAAGGACCTAAAAAGAAATATAAAACGAAAACCCACTAACACACACTTTAACACACTGGACAGAAAGGTACTGCTCCCCTGAAGAGATCAATAAGGACGTTGCAAAAGAGGTGGCAGCACATTGGACTCTTTTTAAGCTGTGGTTTTATTTTCAGAATTAGGCAAATCTCTCTCAGATGCCGAGTATTTTATAGATTGCTTTGAAGGGGCCAGATATCAACTCAAGGGTTTTTCTTCAAGTTACTCCCAAAACTGAGTCTAAGTTCAAAGGCTTCCAGATGAGGCTACCAATCTTCCTTCCTGCACATGCCCACATTTAGAACCTCATGTTAAGATGGGCCACATATCAACTCCTAATCCCATTCAATATTATTTAGGTCTGTTTTCCTTTTTTCAGTCTTTAGAATAAACAGACAGGAGCAAGTCCTTTCCACATCTTAGGCATGCCTACCATCTCAAAGCCTCTGGACAATTCTATTCTTTCCTCAGATTTTTATTGAGTACCTACTAGGCATTTAATAGGCATAGATAAGGGCTGGGATTGTGGCTCAGCAGTAGAGTGCTCGCCTAGCACAGGGGGGACCCAGGTTCGATCCTCAGCACCACATAAAAATAAAGGCATTGTGTTGTGTCCATCTACACCTAAAAAATAAATATTTTAAAAAATAAGCATAGATAAAATGTGTACTAACATTGAAAGCTCAACTCTTTGGGGAAAATAAAATAAATGGTACAGAACACTGAGGGGTTCAGAGAAGAAGATATTGGATAGTATGTAGACTCATGGATTCAGAAGCCAGGACCTGAAGACTCCATAAGATTTCAACAGATGCCCACATTCCAAGCAGGAAGAGCAGTATAGTATGAAAAGAAGGCAGCATATTGCAGACTAAGGATCAGACTGATGAAGAAAAAACTGCAAAGTCTAATGGAGAGCCTAAAAATATGATGTGGTAATTCATTAAATTTGGTAATGTAAGAAGCAGATGAAATTTACCTGTAATTATTTATTTAAAATGTCAACTTCTAAAAAGTTTACAAATTTTTATCTGTCAAATTTCAGACATTTTTTTTCCCACTGCTGTTTTAGTAGGTATCTTAATGTTCAGAGATTAAGTCCTAAAAATTGGTATTGAGTGGGCCTGGGGCTCAGCAGTAGCGTGTGTGAGGCATGTGTAAGATGCTGGACTCAATTCTCAGCACCGCACATAAATAAATACAATAAAAGTCTATCAAGAACTAAAAAAAAAAAATGGTATTGAGTATAAGACAGAATCACCTAATTCCTTAATTCTAATTTTCTAAGATAACAAAGTTTTAAGAAAAATTACTCCTCATTAGAACTAATACTCTATTTCCTCAATTCTTAAGTTGTACTCTTTCTGCGTCTCAATATTTCTAAAATCAGAAAAATCTAAAAAATTAATATGTATATTAATAGAATAATGTTTCTTTTTTTCTCCCCAGGAAAGCTATGATAATTTTTTTTTTTTTTTAATTTTGGAGATGGGGTCTTGCTATGTTGGAGACTAGCCTCCAACTCCTGGGCTCAAGCAGTCCTCCTTCTCAGTCTCCCATGTAACTAGATAGAACCATACATACCAGGCTTCAGTGATGACTTTACCATTGATGTTATCTTAAAATTAAGGAACATGTAGATGAAAATAACCATTGATCATAGGGACCCAATTGTTTAGTGGTCAGAGTCACTCAGGTATGTCTGAGATTTTCAGAGGAGAATTCAAAGTATTTTACCAATATACAGTGAACACCATAAAAGTCAGGCAATATCCCTATCCAGGCTTGATTCAGAGAGGGGAACTCACAATGATTTTACAGAGTTTATGTCTCATCTAATCATCTCCAGACCTGCCTTTCCTGTCATCACAGCAATCACATACCAAAGGGAACAAGACAGGGCTATCGGTGTAGCTCAGTGGTAGAATGTTTATCAAGCATGCACAGAGTCCTGGGCTCATCCCCAGCACTGCCAAGGGTGGAGAGTGCAAAGAAGAATTCTCTGATACTTATTAAGTCCACGAGTTTTAACTCCTATTTTGAGGTTGCCTGATGTACACCACTACCCTATTGCTCTAGGCCATGCTTGAGTATTTCACATCATGCATTAAACAATCTTACTTACCTAAAATTATAACACCAGATGAGGTGCAGTACTCACAGGGCTTGAGATAACCGAAAGTAAAGATGCCTTCAAATCAAATTTAAAGCAGTTGTTTGGGAATAAGTCACTAAGCAAATATAAATCATTCAAAAACTATTCAGTCTTAAGGAGATAATATCAGATAATGTTTATTCTGGGAGTTCAAATGACTCCCTTCAGAGCTAGACTATTGGACCAGCAGACGCCATTAAGTCCCAGGAGCAATCTTCATCTGTTGACAGAACTTGTCAATGACAGAGGAAAACTGAGAGCCAGGCACATGTATCTCATTTAACGTAATCACAAAAAAACATGAATCAGGTGCATTAACACACACCTGTAATCCCAGCGACTTTAGAGGGATGAGGCAGGAAGATCGCAAGTTCAAGGCCAACCTTGGCATGTCTCAAAATAAAAAATAAAAAGGGCTGGGGATGTAGCTCAGTGGTAGAGTGCCCTGGGTTCAATCTTTAGTATGGTGACGGTGGTGACTGGGGGAGCGAACCTGAGTTAATATATACTGAGTTATAGCTATTATGCTCCACACTAGAATAATGAAGAAACTGGAGTTTTGTTTTGTTTTTTTAAAAAAGAGAGAGTGAGAGAGGAGAGAGAGAGAGAGAGAGAGAGAGAGAGAGAGAGAGAGAGAGAGAGAGAGAGAGAGAGAGTGAGAGAATTTTTAATATTTATTTTTTTTTAGTTCTCAGCGGACACAACATCTTTGTTGGTATGTGGTGCTGAGGATCAAACCCGGGCCACACGCATGCCAGGTGAGCGCGCTACCGTTTGAGCCACATCCCCAGCCCCAAAACTGGAGTTTTTAGAGAGTGAGTAATTTGGCCATGGCCATGCAGCCGGGAAGTGTTCATCAAGAGTGAAGATTTTAATTACAATGCTCCCTTCTGCTACCAACCGCTATTCCAAAGAGATAAACTTACAGCATTGGTTAAAAGACATTGAAGTGACAGCAAGTCATGGTTCTAACCATCTCATTCACCCAATATTTACGTGAGTCTATACCGTGCCTTTCCAAAAAATTCTTTCCATCATCAGATTCAACTGAAAAATAATTGTAAATTGTACTTTTCTTTGCAAGAGGAGTTAAGCCACTGATTACTATTTAACAGAATATTTTCATATCTAAACACACTTTTATGTTCAATATAAACAAAATTTTACAGTTTTTTACTTTTACTTTCTTCTGAAATCATCTGCAAAAGAATGCTGTATGCCCACTTTTCAGGCAAAGGAGGTTAAAACAATAAGATTGGGAGAGATTTAGAAGAGAAAAGGCATGCAGAGTGCACCAGTAAACCCAGCTCAGGATGGAACAGCTCCCCAGGTCTCCAGAGAGGCAGAAGGGGAAGGAGAAGCCAGCAAATGCCACCTGCCTGTTATTGAGCTTAGAAAGGTGCATACGTTTAAAGCGACTGAATTTAAGTCCAGGGTGGCACTTGCAGAAAATGGCATCAAAGGTTGGACTATAAATCTTTCTTATTCTCAAGTCACTGGACATTTAAGAGCAAAGATATTGATGGGCTCTCTCCCTCCTCTTCTTTCTCCCTGTAACAGATGTGTGATTCATGGATCGTCCTTCTGTGGTCTCCATTTTCATCTTATTACTTTTTCTTTGCTTCTGCTTTCTGACAGCTCTGAAAAACAAGGTGCTAAATTATTTTATAGAATGAGCACAGTGAATTATGTAATTATGGTGAAGTTTAATTAACTAGCTAACCAAATAGGAAAACAGAAGGGAAAGAATTTGCTGTATTGTAAGCATAAATCCTCAATATCCCAACCATAACAACAAAGAAACAGAGGCCTGACGGAGCAAAATGCTCGAGAAAAGACATTTCTTTAAAAGATGACTACTACAGATTTAGAACAAGCTATTTGGGACAAACACACCATGAAGGTAAATAACCACACCAACGAGTGAGTTCGTTTTTGGCTTTTGCTTTTTTCAGTGTATCTACACTGCTCAACTCAGCACTTCAATCTCCAAATGCCTGAATTATACTTTTTAGGACAGGGATTAATACATAAGGCATTAGCACAAGTAGGAAAATGAAAGAGCACATTGGAAAAACTGACACTTGAAAAGGCCTATTTTTATAAACCCTGCAGCTAATTTTCCTTCCCTCTGCAGGTATAGAAATCCTGACAAGTGCCACATAGGCGGTCCACCTTTTGTGGTCCCTATCTTCTTGAAGACTAGTTTCAAAATGAACAGGCTGGAACTCACTTCACCCTCTCAAAACACTACACTACATCAGACAAAACAGATCCCTTCTGCAGGGTGCAGTGGCTCACGCCTGTATTCCCAGGCACATGTATCTCCTTTAACGTAATCGGGAGGCTGAGGCAGGACGATCACAAGTTCAAAGCCAGCCTCAGCAATTTATTGAGGCCTAAGCAACTTAGACTCTGTTTCTAAACAGAAAATATTTAAAAGGCAAAAGGGCCGGGGATGTGACTCAATGGTTAAGCACCCCTACGTTCAATGTCTGGTATAAACAAAACAAAACAAAAACAGATCTTTGGGCTTGGATTGTGGCTCAGTGGTAGAGTGCTCGCCTAGCATGCACGAGGCACTGGGTTCAATCCTCAGCACCACATAAATGTAAAATAAAGATATTGTGTCCACCTAAAACTTAAGATTAAATATTTTAAAAAACAGATCTTTTTGTTTCTGGTGTTCTCTGAACTAAGTTACATGCAATCTGTGCCTGGGAAAGATTACTGGTGCATTCATTCAACATCTCCAGGGTAGCAAAATCATGCTCTTTATAACATCAAGAACCAAGGAGTGGGCTGACACTAATAGCCACTGGCACACATGGAAACTTTCCTGGCTGCCCAGGAATATCAATCATTAGAGTCTACCTCTCATAAGCCACAGCAAACTCAGCCCTTCTTGGTCTTCCCAGGACAAAACCTGGGAGAACTTCATTAATAGCACATAATCCTTAATGAATCAAACTTAAGCCTCACTTTTTGTTCAATCAGCATGGTGTTTGTTAGGTATGGGGAACACAAAATTGAATGGACATCATCTTTAAGGAGCTAGGAAGGAAACTAAGCAAGGCAGATGTCACCCTTCCCCCAACTACTTTTAGGTGAAGAAATTGAGGCTTTGTACAGAGCAATAGTAACAAAAACAGCATGGTACTGGTACCAAAACAGGCGGGTGGACCAATGGTATAGAATAGAGGACACAGAGACTAA